GTGAAAAGGAACTGCTAATTAAAATGCATTCAAAGAGCCAGGCACTTTCAAAAGGCAAGGCAACCAATTATGCCTTGACAAAAGAAAGGAATTCCCACATATGGAGAACCTGGGGTATGTTGCCATAAATGACCTCGCGCTCTCTGCATAGCATAGTTTAGATGGAATCTTGGAATGAGCTTCTGAGTGACCCATGGGCCTTTAATACAAAATCCTGAAAATAATGCCAGAACTGTGGAACCTTCTTTTTTTTTTTTTTTTTAAAATGTGGAACCTTCTTAACTTGCCTGTGTTTCTGGAGGCTGCCATAACAAATGAACACAAATTTGATTTAGTACAACAGAAACTGGTCCCCTCTAGAATGAGGCTAGAAGTCCAAAACATAGCAGTTCCTTGAGGAGAATCACCCCCACGCCCCACACTATTTCAGCAAAGAAAGAATGGCTGCCCTGGCTACAGAAGACCGCATTGCTCCACTCCTTTGACTCGGTTGTCACATTGCCTTCTCTCTATGTGCCTTCTACTGTCTACGTCTACCTTATTAGGACAGTTGGGATGGCCCTTAGGAGCTACCCATGTAATCCAGGATTATCTCCTCATTTCCAGACTTTACCCTAATCACATCGGCAGGGCCCTTTCCCCAGATATCTCCAGGTGTTATCCACAGGCCCCAGGGACTTTTCCTAAGTATTGGTCTACTACAGATGGTTTACTGAATAAAACATATACACAAGTTTGGGCTGGGCACATAGCTCAGTGGCACAGTTACCTGCCTGACAAGCCCTTTGGCTGGAGGAGTAACATGGTGACACACGTGTGCACACATACACATATAGCTTGCACTTGACTTGCGTTTTGGACCAGTTTTGGGTCCCCTGTAGCCACTTTGCAGCCCACCATTCACAAACCACAATGGGCAGCTCTAAAGCATTTTTAATTATCACTGGTGTCCTGGGCTTCGTTTAGCTGCAATCCCCTTTTTTAATCAAACAAAAGCACATTGTATGTAGTTGGTATAAAGACAGCTGCTTTGGCTAAACTCTGACGTTTCTATTCCTTTCCTCTGTGCACTGGTCCCTTCTCCAAAGAGCCCATTTGAAAACTATTATCATCTTAGATCAGAGGTTGGAAAATGTTTCAAATAATGAGCCAGATAGTAAATAGTAAATAGGCTTTTCAGTTTATACAATATCTCTGTTGTGCGTTCTTGAGTCTTCTGTTCAAGTGCAAAGGCAGTTATAAACAGCACTAAAATGGACGGGCATGGCTGAAATCCAGTAAAATTTTATGGACACTAAACTTTGAATTTCATATGATTTTCACATCATAAAATATCCTTCTCCCTGTGATCCGCCCCCACCAACCATTTGTGGTATAAAAGCCATTCTTAGGGCTTAGGGAGGCCACCTCCTGGGCCAGCTCCTCCTACCCTCCAGGCCACATTGACTGCTGGAGTTTGTGCCCATGCAGAGTGACACCTGTCTCCAGTGACAGTGTGTACCACATACAGTGGGAACTGTGAAGCACAATATTAACACATCAGGTTAATTTCATGCTCTACTTGTCTTGGCCTGATATTAATGAAAATTAAATTTTGCGCTAATCAGCCTTAGCATTCAGCGTGCACGATACAAATTTGTGATTTCTGGCAAGGGTGGTTAAATCATATTTATGCTATTTGTGTGATGCTTGAATAACATGGCAATACTATTATCCACAATTAAAGTCCCAGGCTGACAGATGTCACCAAGAGCAGACATAGCCGAGTGCAAGTGGAAATTTTTCCTAACAAGTTGAAGGCAGAAAGGATGCAAACCAGGGAGCTGCAGTTCATTCCAATTTCCTGCTTCCCTCTGGATGGCTAACTTTGCATGCTGGACCAATGCAAATGCTTTTGCTCTGTGCCCTACTTTGGTCTCTCCCTGTATGCTAGCTGTAGAAAGTCAAGGAGAAAGTCCAGAAACAAGCAGAGAGAAATAGTCTCTTTTTCTCTTCTTTCCTGGGTGCTGAAGAAGAGGGTCATTGCGGGCACCAAGAGAGAGTTCTTCTTAGCTGCAGATAGCTCACTGGCTGTGCGAGTTGACTGGGAATTTCGGGGGAAGAGGTTGTATTTACTGATCTGTGAGTTGGTGCAAGGAGGGTACAGAATGAGTGAGACTGGCCCGAATGCAGCTATGTCCCTGTGATAAACAGTGGCTGGCAGATGATGTGCAGGGTGGGCACAGTCTCCTGGGCCTCATTTCCTGGGACAGGTTAAGTATCCCTGAGCACCTCGGCTCCACAGACCTCCATTCTCATCCTTAGCCACATGGAGGCACCAGGGGAACTGAAGTCATCAGGAGCTTAGTCATTTCATGTAAGAGCTGCTGAGAATGCTCAGAGATGGCCGAAGGGTACTGAGCACATCTTTCCCTCTGGAGAGGAGTCTGTGCTCCTGGTTACTAAGCAGCAGCATCAATCCTCGGCCAGGATACAGGTGAGGACTTGCACATCTCCTGTTGGCATGGTGACCGACTCTCTGTGATTGCTGAGTGTCATTGTCCCGGGCCAGCTGCGACTCTTGGTTGCTTGCCTTTAAGGGCTGATGGCGCTAGACAGGGTGGTTCTTGGCCACCACCTGGTAACTTGTTAATGCGATTGCTTTGGAGTTTTGGAAGATGGATATGCCTCTGGCAGCTTCTTGGACCCCTCAGAGACTAGATCTGTCTCTTCCTTCTTTCCCCCCAAAGCCAAAGGATCCCCATCCAGCAAATGGGCTTGGGACAGGCTTGACCAGTGTATCACAAGCTTGCTGCCAACTTGCTCCCTAGACCTGCAGCACACAGCACTGAGTGAATGTTTTGCACCTGAATGGGCCAGCTCCCAAACACGCATTGCAGGCAGGCAGAACCAACCCATATCCTTGCTGACATAGGAGGACTTATTTGCCATCTCCAGGCTGGCACATTGCTTGGCGAACAGATGTGACCCAGGTGTCAATGGCAAATAGAAGCCGAAGTGCAGAAGACAATGCTCGGCCAGGGAGATGCCCCAAGCCTCAGGCCAACAGAAGGATCTAAGGGTGGTAGGACCCAGGAGCTATAGAGGGGACTAAGGCCACTGGTTCAGGGTAGGACCTGGAGAAAGCCCTGCTTTTAGGAGCACAATCAGATTGCCAAATAAGCTGGCTTCAAAGTCACTGGTCAGCAGGGCATCTGGTGTCACCTTGATTCATGGTGTCCTCTCTCTATTTAGTGACCTGGCTGAGTACCAAGCCCAGGGACAGCACTCCCACTCTGCTCTCAGCCAGATGGGACAACCTCATGATAGTAACACTCTCAGGCATAAGACACGGCTGTGGTCATGACCAGGGCTGAGCAGGTAAGGCACCCTGGCTGCTAAAAGATGAAAATGCTATATCATTGACTGGTCAAAGAGCCAGGGTCGTGTCCTGAGTCCCTGGAGGCTCCTATTTCTGATTGCCTTGGCCATCCGTCCTTTCATCTGTCACCAAAGCAGCCTCCTGGATTCCTTGTTAGGTCCCTTATGGAATATCTTCATGTTTCAGTGCTGCCCTACTATACTTGTACAGTTTCTCTCCCATTCAGGAAGACACAATAGAATGTCCATGCTAAATAGTAAATGTATGATATTTGTGGGTAGAGCTTTCTTAACATTCACCTCATCATTAGTAGCAGCAAATGCTAATATAAGCAAACACTGTCATGGTGTTCGAGACACTTAATGTAGTGGATCAGTAACTGGTGGTCAACTTAACACAGGCTGAACTGAATCAGCATGGTGCTGAGTGTGGATGGCCCAGCTGAGGACTGTTGCCAGCATGAATAAGAGACATGGGGAGGAAGAGAAGCACTGTGGGTTCTCCTAAGTGTTGTTGTTTGGAACTGTTGGTTCTCCTGGAAGAGCTTGTCATGTTGGCTTCCCTGATATGAACTCAGCTATTATCATCAGAGGAGCTTGGGACCTTGTTGCTGAGAGTGGCTGTGGTTCACTTTGGGGGAGCTCTGGTCCTTACTTTGAGTGTCACTTCCTGGCTCTGGAAGGGAAGATGTGGGCTATTCAGTCTGCAGAAGCTTGTCATGCTGGCTTCCTGATGTGTACTCAACTGTTCTCATTGTCAGAGGAGCTCAGGACCTCGTTGTCGCTGAGGATGGCTGTGATACTTTTAGGGGATCCCTGGTCCTTATTTTGAGCATTGCTTCTCAGCTCCAGTGCAGAACCCTCAAACTACTGGCACAGCTCCTTCACCTACTGGCACAGACTTCCTAACTTCCACCGCTGATCTTTGAGCCTTCCCAGCACAGATCTGTGAAACAGACTTACATGAATCACTGTCATGGACTCTAGGCCTCCAGTTGGACTCATGGGAGGCACTGTCATGGGCTCTAGGTCTTCAGCTGGACTCCTTCAGGATATTGCATGGGATCCAGGTCCTCGGCTGGTTTCTTTAAGCCTTTGGTGAGTAGACAGATTTCCTGCACTTCTTGTATTTGACTCTGCGGGTGACCAGTATAAATAATACTATAAACTATGTGTCCTGTATATAAGGTTCTCCTTGCAACTCCTGACTACAACATTTAGCATGTATTAACCCCTCCAGGCCACACTCCAACCCTGTGAGGTAAGTGCTGCTATTATGCCATTTACAGATGAGGAAACTGAGTCAAAGACATATCATCTGTATGTGAGTTAACACTAAGCGGAAGTCTCCAAGAGCCTCCACACACTCACACAAAAGAATGGGAAGCAATAGGAAGTGGTCTTACACACCAGGGTGCCTTGGGCTGAGGCCACTGGAACAGCCTTTATGTGACTGAACCCAGAGATCAGATGGCCAGGACAGCCCAGTGGATGCCAGGGAGACAGGTGATGATTGAGAACAGATCCTTCCTCCTTCCTTGCTTTGGTGTTTGCAAGCAAAGCAAAGCAAAACAAAACAAAACACAAAGGAGAAGTGCTATCAAAAATCCAGACTGAATGAATCTCACCTCATTGACTGATTCAATTTCTGCAACTCTAACATATAAAAGATTACATTTCTTGTCACCATTTCTATATGATCTTCCTTTGTCTGCTGGGTTTTGAGAAGGGAAAAATTCAACCAGACTTTCTCCTGCCCAGGCTGTCCCCACGGATTGGTCCTGAGTCACATCTATTCCCACCTGTCACACTTGTCCAGCCATGAAGCCTGGCCTGGCTGCGAGGTGGACAGGGTGCCAGGCATCTGCTCAGGGCCTCCTTGGATCTGAATGTCTGCTGTGCTGTTCTCTCTTCTACTCATGACAGCATGAGGAATCCTAGCTCAGGAGCAGTAAGGGGTGACCCCAATTGGTTACAGTTTCTTTCAGATCTGTCATTCACAGCATAAACTCTGTGTCCTCACTCTTGCAGGACTCGGCAGCGGAAAGCCCAGGTCTTGTAACAAAAACCTTGGAAGCTTTTGTGACTTTAAATGCTGGGAGCTGGCTCTATATGTCGTCTCTATTTTGCTGAGGTCCCTCATTCAGGAGGCAATGGGTCATCTGGCTCAGTTCAGCTGCTCCATGGAGGTACCAAAAAATCCCCTTAAGATCCCTCAAATGCCCACTTATCTGCCATTTCTCGGTCATTCAGCCTGGGCAGCGGTCCTACATGAGAGCAACTTTCTTTGCTTCCTTAAGAGAATACTTGGCCACCCTATGTCTTGGGATGCTTTAATTCTTAATTCAGTGATACCTTAGTTTTAGTAAACTTTTTAAGCAGAATAGCTCATGTATGTGTTCTACAGAAGCCTAGAATCTCCATGGACCTTGTTCAGCGCTGCCTTCCTGCAGCCAAGATGCACCCAGAACCCTTGGAGAAAGCGTCACAGAGGCAGGCCCACCGCAGGAGAGTTTGATCTACATCTTTTCCTGCTTCAGGTCCCAGATGTTGAGTGTCAAACCACAAAATATAAAACAGAATTTGTTTCATGCACTAACTGATCAATGCTGAGGACGGGTTGCTGTTGTGTTAAGAAGGATTCTGAGAGTGCTCAGCGGGGAAGACTGGCCGATAATATTTCACATGAGCCTGAGAATGGAGACAAGGGCAACACTCTCATACAGTTGTTGTAGCACTTGGTCAAATTCATTCTCTCTGCAACACATAAGAAGTCCCCCTTGTCCCCTGCAACCAGATTAAAAGCCTGATCCTCCATTTTGTCGAAGTCTCAGATCACAAGGTCACTATGCCATCAGGACCCCAAATCAGCCACATATGGTAAGTCTGGGATTTGTCTACCAATCCCAACTCCCTAGAGTTGATTTGTAGCTGGTTGGCTTTACCTTTCCATTACAGTACAGCATCTACAGGAAACGGGCTGCTGGCTCTTCAGGTTCTGAACCGACAGGGGGCAGCAGAGAGCAAGGAAGCACTCTACTCCAGGAACCCTTCCTCTCCTGTCTCTCTGGAAGTGAATCCTGTGGACTGTCGGAGACTGTTGTCTACACATCGATGTGGTCAAAGGGGGCAGCAGGAAGGGCTAGAGGGAGGGAAACTTTATTTGGGTTCACATGGAGACAAGCTTTGCTGGGCGCCTCACTGCTTCAGGACGGAAGAGGAAGAAGTCACAATGGTAAGAGCAGTCGCTGCCACTGTGCGGCCCCCAGAAGGAGCCCTGTCCTCTGGGGATGCTCCTTCTTTCCATTCTCTCTGAAATTTCTGGAGGTGGGTGAATCTCCAGTGTACAGATGTGCAAAAGGATCCCGGAGTGGTTAAATGTCTTGCCTGAGAATCACTTACTCTCTTAAGCACAGGCTGAGCTACACTTTGGACGCCTGTCTGCCCAGGACTTCATGATGTGATACCATTCGAGGAAGGAGGCCAGAAGGGGCGTCTGGCTTTTGGACGGCCTGGGGGAGGTCTGTGGGTCCAAGAGGAGACAAATGGCCCTTATGTCCCAGCCTACTGTCTCCTGAAGGCCACAGATCCCCAGTACATTCTGCCACCTACTGGGCATGTCCACCAGGGAATCCTGTTGCCAGACACGGGTAAGGAGTGGAGGGAAGCACGTGACTTGGCCCGGCTCTCTCTTAGCAGCCCTTTATACCTCTCTCCCACTGGGGTTCTTCTTGTGTCCCTGATATGTGCATCCATTTCCTCTCTACTCAGTGGCCTAGGTGACAACCAGGGCTACGCCAAAGAACGGCCTCAGAAAAGGATAAGAAGAAGGATGGTAGAAGCTAGTATGGAACCTTCAAAGACTTACCACAGAAGTTCATCTAACCACCCACGGTGGGAGGTCATTATGGCGCCTTGGAAAGTCACACTAGAGCCTGCTTCCTCCACCCTCAGCTCCACCCTGGGCTCGGAGATCATGCCTGGTGTCAGGAAGAGCACTTTCCAGAACATCCGAAACTTCTGGGGTGGGCATGGTGGTGTTGACACCAGTGTCATCTTTCTGTCAGGATGGCTGAGATTCTAAGAACTCTCTACTAATACCAGCCTGCCTCTCACCACTGGGCTGGTGCTTCAATAACTTCCCTGTCCCTTGGGTCACTGTGACCAGCCCCCTGGCTTCTTTAACCACCATCTGTGTTCCCCACCTAACAGTGGGACATCCAAATCCACCAAGAGAGCCACATGTGTGAAACTAGCACAGGTCCTAGCTGTGAGCTGAGCCCACTTCTTAATTCAATTGCTTTTTTAGAATTGTTTTTCTTCTTTAAAAAATACATTAAAGCATAAAGGAGAAGAAAATACCCTCCTACCTTCCTTTCTTGGCTCATGTTTCCTAACTATACTTCTTAATAACACTGTCTTTTACTTCCCTGTGTGTTTATTGTTTGTCTCTTCCTCGGAATGGGAGCTTGGCAAGACGAGGAACTTGCTTGCTTTGTTCACTACTGATGCTGTAGTGCCCAGAACAAAGCCTGGCCTGTGCACAGAATGGGGGAATTATTTCCTAACAACATGAACTCAGACACAATTTTATGTCACATTACAGAGGGAGCATTTTTCAATGTCTATGAAAATTCTTCAAAAGCATCATTTTCAATGGCTAGTTAATGCTCTCTGGTGTAGATGACAAAACACATGCTGTCTGCCCCTGCAGTTTTGGACATAGGAGGATTATGATGATCAGTTTGAATCCCTGCTCATTGAACTACAACAGGGTCAGGCTGTGCCTAGGTTTCTGGGTCCTTGCTCCTGACTGAATGAGTGGGTGTCAATGTCCAGTGGTCCAGGAAGAATGTCCTTCTCCAGTTTGGGCATAGCACTGCAGTTCCTCTCTCCAAGTTTATGGTGAACCAGCTGGCCAGGCTGTGGGTTTTGTAGGGCAGGCATGCACATGGCCACAGGTTGGCTTTATGGTGCCCACTCCAAGGCAGGCAATTATATTTGTCTCTGTCCTCAAAAGTCAACTACATTTCTTTTGACCTCCTCCTGGAAAGCAAATTAAAACACTGTTGTGAAAAGTCTTTAAAAATTACTTAGAGACCTTTCACTTCAACCTCTTTCACCTCCAGTTCCAATTGCAGAACAGTCCTTTACAAGAACCAAGAATGAAGTCAGAAACATTTTCAGTCAGGCTCAAAGAATGTGGAACCTGCAGGACCAGGTGCGATCAAAAAGGCATCTAGTGATGCACACTCACCCAGTGCTCCTCAGAGCACAGGCTCTCTGGCCTCTGGGTCATTGCTCAGCTGTCCTCTGCCTGGAGTACCCTTCCCCTCTAGAGTGCTTGTGTAAGACTTGCTGCTGTCAAGAGCCAACTTCCAAGAAGCTTTCTTCCCTAAGTCAGAAAGACGCCTGAACTCAGCTCTTGCCAACCACTATTGCCTATTTGCATCTTTGAGCCACATAGCTGGCTTATTAAATTCTTGGGTCACTTAGTACAGGGGTTTGTGGCCATGGCTTCACAGTAGCTGGCCATGTGGAAGCATCATCAGTGTGGTTTCAGAGCTTTCCCAGGTGTCTAATGTGCAGTCAGGGGTGAGAACCACACAAAATCCCTCTCCTTCTTCACTCATAGAATCTCCTGCAGACTCTCCTGGCATCTTCTAAGCCCCCGTCCTCACTACACGGAAGGACAGATGAGCTTTCCCTTAAACAGGAGGCAGCTCATCTAATTCGCAATGTTAGTGGAGTCCCGGATTTCTGAACCAGCCCTCACAGCCAACTGGCAGCTTGGAGTAGAGTTGGTAACAGATGTCTCCTAGGCAGAATGCACAGGTAAGCGTGAGACCACAAGCTGCCCAGGGAATGAAAAACATCTTGTGTTTAAAGGGCATGTGGATCTTGTTAGTTGTTGAATCCAGTGAGATGAAGATTTTGACTGCTGATGTGTGCTTAGCAGGACCCCTCTAAGAATTCAGGTCATTGTATCTCTTCAGATCAGCAGCAAAGATGTCTTCTGGCTTCCACCATAGTGGGAATCCACATGTCTGCTCTGGGGTGTGAATTAAGCTTATTTGTTCCTGGATTCTCTGAGGCAGGCAGAATTTGGACTGTTGAGCACTCCAAACATATCATTCCATGGTTCTTACCATGCTTGCTTTTCTACAGGATGAATTTAAACCTCACTTGAGCCCAGCATTGAAGGCCTCCTACAAACAGAACTTCAATCCACTTTGTTGAGACCTAAAATGACCACTAGAGATCTCTTGGCTCCACCATTATTCCTTGAGGCATTTGGAGGAGGGTGGTTGGTGTAGAAACATCCTCAATATTTCTATATGCATTTTCTCTCTGAGGATCAAATCTGAACCCTTCAGTTTCAGGGGGATCCATACTTTCTGAGAATCACTGTGTCCTCTAAAAATCCTCTGTGATCACACAGAATTGGCCCACAGCTGCAGGCTGCAGAGGTCCAGCTGTTCTTCCAGGCCCTCCTGGGTCTGTCCCTGAAGTTCTCAGCTGCCCCAATCTCCCCAGCTGAGCTGAACCATGAGCTGCTGGAGCAGGGCTGGTAGAAGCTCTTCGGGCCACTGGCTTTTGTGGCCCAGCCTGGACGACACAGGTTCTTCTGGTGTTCGCTATCGCCTGGACTTCTGGGCCTCTGAGGATCCGTTCCCCACTGCCACCTTGATGTCCAACCTCAACATGCTCGTGTACGCTTGTTTCTCTCACCATTTACCTGTTCTTTTCCTTGGCCTACAATGCCCTTAACTACCCTCAGAAGGCCAGGTAGGGCTCTTTTCTGGTGTTTTAAATGTTTGTAGTCCCATTATTATTTTATTTTTTTAGTATTTTGCAACTTTATAAAATAAGATCACTAGGACACTTGGCAACTTGATGTTTCTTTCAGTTTGCTGCTGCGGAGTCAGCTGAACTAGTATTATGATAGCTAAAGTGACAAACAAAAACACCAAGCCATAAGGTCCTAATGAAACCATTATTTTAATGACTAAATAACACAATATGTACTACCATGTGATAGATGGGCACTAGCAGAATACTGCCTGCTTCTTTTTGGTGCTGTCATGGTTTTTATTCTTGCAGAGATTTTGTAAACTTCTTGAAGACAGGAATTCTTTTTAAAACTTTGCTGCCTCAGTCCTAAGAAGCAGAGTTTGAGGCATCTCACAGGTAACTGTTCATTAAATCACCATGTGATGATCTTAAACATGCTTCTCTCCAGGTGAGGGTTTGCCAGGGAGCTGCCAACTAGAAAATGTTAAGAGAAAGCTTCTTGTTGGCATGACTGAGTATTGTGACTGTTCCAAAGAGTCTACGTGAGAGCTTACTGATAACTGTCCTTCCTTTGTGAGAAGCATAACTCATTTTTCACAGTCCCAGAGGCACAAGTAAGTTTCACTTAGGACCACACTGCTGGGTTGTGCCTATTGGGTCCCAGGAGAAGAACAACCAGGGTCACACCCAGTGCAGGTTTGTGTGGCCAACAGCAGCCACCAGTAGCTCCTCCACCTTGGCACCCAGCCTAGTGACTTGGAAGCTTGTGCATCTGGAGTTTTCTGCCCTTGAGCCTGATGCCTGGTGATCTCCTCCTCCACTGAGCATACATATGGAAACTTGGGCCTGGTGGCCCTGATGCTCTACCTGTGTTCAGAACCAGGCTCCTTAGCTGTGCCTTCAAGACCCTCTAGAACATGGTTTTCTGTGTAAAATGGGGATAATGGTCATTCCTTGCCATTGTGGAGAGAATTAAGAGATTCTAAGTATAAATGACATCTCAAGCCATAGTAAATGAAATCCGTTTTACTGCCAACTCATTGGTGATTCTTGTGTCTGCATGTCCACACCTCTGATCTGCTCAGGACACCCAAGGATGTGGGGTGTCATTGGCACCCCCAGCTCTCCTTACAGCTTCACTGTTTCACAGCAGATTCTGGGGATTATAGTGTGTTGCTCAGTCATGAGGCTTCCCTATGCCTCTATTTCAACTGCAGTAAGAAGGAAAGCTCTCTGTGAGGTGGAGGCACTAGGGGTTTAGGAACAAGGCAGATGTGGCGTACTATACTGTGCTGTCCTGTACTTATGTCTAACTTCAGTTCCCTATCAATGTTAGTTAAATGAGAAGAGTATTGAGCAAAATCTCACAGTCCTATGCACACAGAAGGCTTTCGAGGCTTCCACCCAGATTCCAAAGAAGATCTGGGCATCTTGGAAAAGTGTGACAGGCTCAGAGTTCCTCTCAGAAGGCTCTAAAGTGTTGTGTGAAGCTACGGGAGTGAAGCCAATGGTGCGGTGGAGATTCCAAGAAGTCAGAGATGCTCAGAACATGGAATGTCTGCCCCAGAAAGCCACAGACAGTGAGCAGTACCAGCCTAAGAAAGAGGCTGTTTGGTTTGCAACCAGAAAGCCCACAGAGATGGAGTCCCCTAAGCCTTCCGAAGCTCACATCTCACTGCTACCAATGTATCTCAGATGCTGGACATGGAGATATAGGGTTTAATGTTTGTCCTGCTGGGTTTTGTTCTTGCTTTGGTTTGCTATTTTCTGTCTCCTGTTCCTCCCTTTTGGAATGGAAGTTACCCGGCACCATTAAACACTGAAATATATAGCTTTTAAAAAAAAATTGGGGGGCTAGGGATTTAGCTCAGCAGCATAAGCGCCTACCTTGCAAGCAGGCAGTCATGAGTTTGTTCCCTGGTACCGATAAAAAAGAAAAAGGCAAAACAAAAATTTGATAGGGATTTAGAGATAAGAGTTTATCTTGAATTTCAGAGGAGACTGTACTTGGGCTTTTCAGCAATGGTGGGACTGTTGAGACTTTGGGAAAGGAATCAGTGTATTTCTTGTAGTAGGCAAGACAGTTGTAACATGTCATGTAGTTATGACCCTGTTTCTCTCTCTATTTAGGGATTATGTCAGGTTTAAGAAGATGTGTTTGAATGTCAAGTTGACAAGGGGTGGAATGTGCAGCTCAGCTTCATTGTTAAAGTGACTGGCTTGAGAGACACATAGGGGATCATCAAAGTACCTCACTGGGTGGGTCGTGGGAACATGATCTGGTCCCTGGCTCATTTCTCTCTGCTTTGGGGTTACTGTGAAGTGATCAGCTTTGTCCCACCCTTTCACCATAATGTCTCTGCTTTGGAGCCATCCAACCACGGATGAAGCCATGAGCCAAATTAAATCTCTCCTCCTTTGAGTTGCAGGTGTCAGGTGCAGTATTTTGTCTCTGCAATGAAAAAGTTGAATACAAATGAGCCTTCAGTAGCAATTAGGAGCTCACTTCTAGAACCAGATAGCTTGGGATCACATCCCAGCTCTGCCAGTTACTAGCTCTGCTACTCTGAGCAAGTTATTTTACCTGTTGGTTTTACCTCTTATGAGAAGTA